AACTTACTGTGATACTCTTCGGCTATTCCCTCAACTACTACATGTTCCCACGAAACATTACTGGGAACATTTTTGGCTGGAAAGGGGGCAATAACTGTAACTTGATGTCCGGCTTCGGCCAGTCCTTGCATTAGTTTGAACGCTAAAGTGTAGTGACTTCGAACCGGGATGGGAAAAACACCCAACAGTCTAGCACCATTGCATCCACCATTGCACAGAATCGCCAAAAATATCACCCATGTTGGGTTCATCTTGGCATGTAAACTAGCACTGTTAAGCACCAGTTCCAAGCAAAAACTGCCTGCCTCAATCTATTAAAATGATTTAACTTTGCTGCATCAGATTGGTAGGGTTTTCGACGATAATGAGCCACTATGCTCAGAGTTCAGATATTAAGTAGGAATTATTCCAAGCCATAGTCCGCAGATCAATGAAAAAACTAGAGGAGCTGAAGCGGTATCTATGAGTCTGTTCTCGTTGATAATGATAATGAATGTTTTTAATGAGGACGTCGCAGGCGGTTTCTGAACATAAACACGTGAACCAACACTAATTAACATTCTGATGAAGAATCTGATAACCTAATCTGTTACTAAGTACTTCAGGGTGGACTTAGTACTTAATCGGTCAGTGTTCCAATTTCACTTAGCTCGATTGAAGAGCATCAAACACAACTTAAGAACAAGATATGAAAATTTCTGCCTTCATAGCCTTTTGGCACAATAGATTGAAACAAAGTTAGTTTCATTGTCAAAAGCGGGTTCTTGTAGTGCGAGCATTTCCAACGTAACTTAACTTGAAGCTCGCAAAGCTATTTTCGAATAGAAACGTGCAATTATTTGCTGCGCACTAATAATGGGAGTAGACGAAGTTTCATTATTGCACGATCTCAATAGAGTCGACTTCATAACTGAGCAACGCGCGATTGAAAATTTTTAATAAACTCCCTGAAAAATGGATCGGGAGTAATGTTTTATTGTTGCTCCTAGGAATTCAAACAGTTGTTTGTCAAAAAATTAATGGGGGTCTTCTGAAAGGAAAAACGAGTTATTTATTGCCCTTGGCATCATACTTTTCAACTTAAAATGAAAAGCTCTGAAGGTTGTTGAAAAATGCCAATCTTTCCCAGCTGGCCCAAGCTGTATATTCCTTATCAACAGCAAAGTTGCATAATAGTCGCTTGCTTGTTGCTCTCACCGTCTATCATTAAACATTTACCTCCCAATGACATGCTAAAACGGATGCAAATACCATCACTTAAAAACTATAGTGCATATTTTACGTTGATTACAAACATTGCACACGCCAGAATATCTCGAGTTTTTACGAGTTGGAAAAATGTTTTTTAACATTAAAAGGCAAAAACTGATATCAACCTTGTTTGACCTCGTATACAAATTGTAAACTAGATAATCCAATAGCAATTATTCGCAATTGTATTGTGACTGATCAATGCTTTGTGTTTTCCATGAAGCGAAAGGAAAAGCGTTCCAATTTTTGCCATTCTAAATCCAAGCAAATTGGAATATAATTTCGCTTTATCGCATCGCCGTTGAATATTATTGTCAGTTACAAAGAGCTGAGTTTAACGCCTGCATTAACACGACAAGTTTGCGAAGAAGGGTAAATATCTCCCTTTCAAAGTTCAACTTGGCAAAAGAGTGACGTATTTTATCGGTCTATTTTAAAGGGCAGAAGACATCAGAAGGCACAACTATGCTTACAAACTTTTCTTTTATTGTTGTCAAGTGTCTTGGGAGGCGATGAGATGCCTTGCTGTGAATTAATGAAGATCGCGCCCGCTTTAGAACTTTGAAAAGTTAGACACGTTTTTTCGGGAAACTTTCACTAAAAGCCCCCCAATATAGGCGAAGTTGTGACAGTGATAGGGGCATTTGCAGCTGAGTATTCTCTACAGTCAATGGAGTTTCAGTTTGCATTGTAATTCAGTCATCGTTTTGAAGATACACTCATTTATTTACGAACCGCATTTCTTATGAAGGGGTGGTTTTATGAGGAGAAAATTTTAAGCTTTACACCGACAATTTATGAGCTTTTGAATGCTTCTTTGGTTCCGAGAAAATGATTTTATTCACAAAAGGAAACTATCGAGAAAAGTACAGCGTTCTGCTTGTTATTCTTAATCCGGTTTCCTCCTGGCACGGCCCATCTTGTGACAATAATAATGATGCTAAAGACTTGTCTTGTATTACATAACTAAAGTTTCAGTATTCAGACGAGAACTGAAGCAAAAATATAAAGCTCAAAGGAAACTCGATGCATTTTCGCGCATTGAAAGATTGATCTAGTTTCTTCTGATTTTGATTTTTGGGTCGGTTGCATGATTGTACTTTGTATGCACTTTAAATGAGGGATGAAACAATAATTATAATAAATATTTTATTGATTTGAGAAAAAATTACAGAATTTATTGGCTCTGAATTATCTGCCATTTTGTCGTTAAACAGGTGAAAATTGTATCCACATTGGAAAAATCCTAAAATGCAGGCAATTTTTCGACATGTCTGTAATTTAATTTGCTCGGAAAACGTTGAATTCTGTTAACATTGAGTGGAAAAGCACATTTTAGCCGCACGGGAAAAACAATTTGCTCAAATAGAAAAATGATTAACACCCGACTTTGCAATGCATTGTTCGAAATGATCCATTGAATGTCAAAGAATGTTAAGCGGGCAACTAAATTGACTGTGAAATCGTGAATTCTATATCGGATGGTTGTTTTCAACCATACATTTTTCGGGTGTTTTTTTTCGTGATTATGGTACAATGCAATAGTTTATCGGTGTTATTTATGTAATTTGCGTTTGAGGAATTCGATTAAATCATTCAATATCCAATGCAAATTGCCTATTTAATCAAAACTGTATGAAGAATTTCCATACAGTTACGATATATGCAACCTGTTCGGTTTGAAAGTCTTCAGAAAAAATGAAACTTCTGCATACACAGAAAATTTATAAGGATAAAAACGGCGTTTTCCCAGGGTTTGTATTTCCCGTTATTATTTTTATTTTATTTTTAGTCCTCTCACACTTGCATTCTTGCACTTATCAGGAGTCAACCTTGTTTGCATACACATTGAATTGAATTATCGTGCATTTACAAACTTGCAGATCGATTTCCATTTATTACGATGAAAAGCAGCATCGTGCTTGGAAAATAAATCGGAAAAATTAATTAAGAAATGCATTTCAATTTCGTTCAGTTGTAATGGCATCCAAGCATCGGCAATATCGTGATTTAATAAAGCCAATAGAAACATTTCCATTGGCTGGTTGATTTGCTAGAAAGTTCATCGGGCTCATTTCAATCGATATTCCTATACACACATTGAAACTGATCGGGGATTGTGATTTTTGCAATTATGTAGAACTCGTTTCCGTTCCACGTTCTTGTACTTTAACAAACGCAACTAAATAGCGAGGAGCTTCCATTTATGCCACGTTGATAACTGTTACTATGCAAAGCTGTAAATTCAAATTTAAAGCAAATTTTCGACTCGATATGCTTTACCAAATTTGCTCTCTTCGAAGTTATTAGAAAGCGAGAAAGAAAAGCGAAATATACCAAGTCAAGCAGAAAATTTAATTAAAGTTTCAGCATTAAACGGGCCGGGAGTTTCGGCAAGGTAAACAGCCGTTTTCCTTCCACAACGATTGCGGATAATTGGATTCTGCAATTTATCAATTATTGAAACAAATATGTGCTAATCATTCATCGAAATGCCGATATAGCCAAACGAGCGAAACCAGCTTGCATCTTTTATATTTAGTTAGGATGTTTTGGTGTTCAAATATTGAAAATACGGCTAAACTTCAGTTCAGCAAGAAGTGCCCTGTGGACGGTTTAAGAAAAAGAGAAAATCCACCTGATGCTCTATGAAGCACTAGCACTAAATCACCTGAAGGTGAAGTATGCTTGGAAATTTTTTGACATTTTTGACATTATTACAGTGCTCGAACACTAATATTTTGGAAGATCCTTTATTCGTGAGCTACAATACAACAACCGACCGACAATACGACGTCAACAGTTTGGTTCAAAATTTAAGCGTTGAAATTTGTGTTTTTATCGGCGTCGGGCTGAAGTATTACGCAGTATTCGTAGAAATCGCCAATCCAGAAGACTGCCACGTTTTCCAGAACTATTTCCTGGGTATTTGCCATGCTTCCACGCTGGCCATGTGGAAACTGTGCTCCGCCGAGCTGGCAGCGCAAAACCGAAGAAAATGCCGATTTCAGCCCAACCACAGCCGACACTACCATCCGAGGATCCATCGAAGATTCTGCGACTTTAAGTATATGCAGAGGAATGAGAATTGCCAGTGTATTCCGACGATGTTTGCTAATGACCTGAAGAAAGTGATTGGGATGCCCACTTGCTACGTACCGCCTTTGCCGGCTAGTTTATGTCAATATAGTGTGTGTGGAATGAGCAAATGTGCAACCACTCAGGACCAGAACATGTTTAATGTTAAATGTGAATGCCAGCGGCCGTTTTGTGAATCTGAACCTCAGCTAGGGACTAGTGTTCGACCTTTACTTAGGGAACTTGATAGAAAATAAACACTGTTATGTCCAGAAAATAATACACTTGTTATACTCTGGCTGGGATCTGAGCAACTAAAGGATTAAAAACTATTTTGGGGCTGATTTTTTTGAACTAGGTAACTGGCTCTTGGTTCAATATGTGGCACAATCCTAAGCTGTTAAAATCTGGCCGGCCAACCCCCATACGACCCCTACACTTATTTGTCTATGACCCTCATAAACCTTAAGCTCCATAAAATCGCACTTAATATTATGTTCCGGCCTTTTAGCGTATGTCACCGGAAGTTTATCAAACCACTCCATCTCGAAAGCATAAAAATTTCAGTGTTTATGTGCCCTTTTACTGCTCTTAATCAAATAACCGTAAACTTTTTCTTGCCGGCCATTCGCGGCGAAAAAGTAACGTATTAAGATTAATATTGGGATAAGAGATGCGGATCTATTTTCTTAATGTTGTTTGCCGCTGGTATTAATGATGATGAGATCGGTCGGTTTGTGGTTTATTGCATGTTGAGGTGCCTGCAAGGCACGCTTATTTTCCTACATTCTGTAAGTTTCGTAAACAAGCCATAAAGTTGGAAGTTGCCAGCTAAAATCACAGCAATACATTTTCGCTCGCACTAAAAGTCCCAAAACATTTACCTCGGTTTATGGTTGTTTGCACAATTTATGTACATGGGAATTGGATGATTGTGGCTGATCAATTTGCATAATTTATGATTTTTCTCCAAGTGAAAATAAACTTGAAAAATTCAAATTTCCAACTAACGTCCAAACTGGCAAAACACGCGAGGTGCCTTTCCAAATAATGTTCATTTTGCTTTATTACCTTCTTGTAGCCCTAATTGTGTGTAAAATTCTAAACTTGGACCTAACAGGCATCCAAAAACCGAACAGCTCATTAAAAGTGAGCAAACCACCCCTTT